ATTGAGCACGCTGGACGTTTGAGCCCGTCCAAAGGGCGTATGATCCGACGTACTGGACATTGGCTCCCAATGGACTACCGTCCTGTTGTCTTGCAAGTTTGGCTTTCTAGCCAAAGGCTTCGGGTGGTGGCCCCGAGGTTATCCCTCTTCCTCGGTCAGGGCAACCGGGAAGTAACATGCCCAAACTACCTATGGACACATCCTACAAATTCTTTGTTCATACGTTATGGCATGTTTGCCAGTTCTGTGTAATTGGTTATGTGTTGAAATAATAAAACTAACCGCCTCGATTAGCTCTGCTGATGAAGCCCTACTCACTGCCATCCCGCGACGGTGTTTTCCCATCAAAGTGAGAGTACCAAAGCCAACTTCCGGGGATATAATCGGGCCGGTGCATCATTGACAAAATCACCCAGAGCTGGCTAAAAATCCTAGTTCCAAACTAACCAAGAAGTAGGATATGGACCACGTACCCACACTGTCCTGGTTGTGGCACTGGTCACCGGGTCGATTGGGTAACGTGGGCACCCGGGACATTCGACCCAATCCAAGGGGCGTATGATTCGATTAACTGTCAGGACTGTCAGGACTCGAACCGCGAACATTCGGATCGGGACTTCATACCCGTACCCCTGAGCTACACGATCGACGGTCATCACCTTGTGCGAATAGCTTAATCAATTTAGAGTATGAAGCTTGGATTAGCCCATCACGAGTGCCTGATGCCTCTGCATAATCGAATGGGCTAATTCAAGCTTAATACACTGGCGACGTTATGTTATGCACCCCCAAATCAAACAAGAAGTTCGGCATTGTAAGTTTGGTGTGTTTCCATTATAACACGTGGGTTCTTTGTGTCTACTAAATTTGATATATTTCGTTAGTCCCTCCATGAAGGTAGAAAACAGCCTGCTCAGACCAGATTACATCTTCAGTCAACGATGATTGTGTTGGTGAGGTGCGTTTAAATCATTCCGCAAATTCCATACGCTTAGACAAATCTGACTGCTTTATCGCAACATCATGCAAAAATTTGTATGGGTGGAGTGAAAGAGACAACACTCGTTGCATGATTGAACAGCTGTGCGAGAGCAGTCAAACACATTTGCGAATGGAGAGCCGGGGATTTGAGAGTACAAGTATTTTTCTAATTTTTTCTCAACTTCGTTGTCAATGCCTTCTTTCTGGGCCCAGTTGTTCGCCTTTTGATTGATCCAGTTTAAAAAAACGTTGAAGGAAACAGTTGAAGCTGTCGTTTTCTTCTTCAGCGCATTGAGACGTCTAAATTCTTCTTATGGGTCCCGAAAACTCAGACCCGGAGCGTTCAAAGGTGTTTTGTCATCGCCCGTTAAGTCCATCTTACAAGAGCTGACAACTGTGACTTGGTGTTCACGCGTAGCGAAAAGCCAGCACAAAGCGGCCGGCTTTCTCCACCACAAACACGCAAACAAACGACTCAGGCTGGTGTTTGTAGACGGGCTTGTGAGTTGTGATCACCCATTGCCATTTGACACAGTTTTGTCGGATAAACGTGCAACAGAATCTCACTTGAAAATTCTACTCAGCAGTGTTTTCGTCTCAATAAATATGGTATATATGGGAGTGGGGGGAGGGGCTGGACTTTATTGCGCTGGTGTTTCCAACCATGACGCTAAATTCACTAACACCCGATCAAAAACTCAATATACGTAGGAGCTAGTATGTCAGAAGTGAAAAACTGAAAAAGCTAGTCATTGTCAATGGTCAGTTTTAGTTTCAGTTTGAACAATCATTAACCACGCATGTTCGAGCGCCAGTTTTGGTCGCTGTCTTTTGGCTGCCCATTTGGATGACGAATAGGAGAAAGGAAAGTTGAAAGTGGAGTCGAAAAGAAAATGGAGAAG